ACTCCAGCTACGGTGATAAGAAGGACCCCCCTTCAACAGGTACCGACGTCCGATGGCATGTTCAACCAGAACATATTTGGATATGCAGACAGCGTGCCGTTCTCGCCTAGTATGATGCCATTTGCCAACGCTGAACCCATGTCGGCGCCACCAATGCCCCAACAGAGGCTGTTCTGGGATTCAACTGATACCAGCCAGATGGACATAGACATGTCGGGCGTCCTCGATCCGTTTGGACCGACACCCAACAAGCTTGGTGACTTGGGCTGGCAAACCTTCCACACTCCTATTGTCGAGCAGATGCAAGCTCAGTTTCAGCCACAGCAGAATATATCGACCGCTGGACGTTCGGCCTCCTTTGGCACTGGTACAGTAGGCGAGATCCAAAGCTCAGACGCAGGCTCGTTCATGTCCACAAGTGCTGGTGTCGATCCAACTATGCTCTTCAGCTTCTCAGTCCCTGATGATGTGACCACTTCGTTCGGTAATATGCCTCAGCCAGCGGCTTTCAACCCAAACAGGCAGCCATATGAGACTCAGTTGCTCGACTCGAAACGCTTGAAAGAGAAGGCAAAGAAGCCAAGAAGTCTGCACTCGCGTAGCAATACTAATTCTTCATCTGGATCTGTGGAAGAGAACAGGCCTAGCCTGCAACGCAGTAACACTGATAGCGGGTTCCGTAGAGCACGACCCGTGACTGTAGAACGAAGATCCTCAGCAGACACTAGTGCAGCTCACCACATCCCGCGTCGGTCGTCGCCATTGAAGCGTGCGAACAGCGGCATCCTCAAAGCTATTCCTGAGATAATTCGGAGACCTCGTACACGACTGATTATAGATGAGACTGGCCGAGCTCGCACAGAGACAGTCCCAGTTGAAGATGAGGAGGTCACTCCGAAAGACACGCGCAGGTCTTCCCAGACTTCGACGAGACAGCAATACCCAGCTCTGTGGGAGGAAGGTGACACAGAGTCGGATTCGGACGAGCCACAACCTACGCTAAGTCGTAATACCTCTTTCAGCATACCGCAGCCGCAACGCCGTGCGTCAAAGCACGCGAGGTCCGAGAGCAATGAGTTGTCGAGGAATAATTCCTTTAAGATGGCCCGACCTGCCTCAAGGACCACATCCAGAGCATCGTCCGGTGCATTCGACAAAGCTTCTTTTGACTCTGTAAGGACTGTGCGGCCTCCCAGTCGGAGCTCTTCGCGTAGGATCATGGTCGATGTCCCTACAACTGCTTCTTTCGGTAGTCAGACAAGCAATCACAATGTGGTGCCTGACTCTCCGGGTGATGCCTTGGGCGCACTGAAGAAGGTCGTCGGTAATCGACAAGAAAGAATTGGTACGACTTGCCGACATGGTATGAGTTTATTCGAGACTGATTCTGGCAGAGCGCGCTTCGCAAAACACGCTACAAGCACATAATCAACGCTGGGCACAGGCCTCCGCCGAATTCAGTGCTGCCTCTACACCCCATGGCCACGGTCGCTACGACCCTTTTACCAATACGTTTAACGGCTCTCCCAGTGTCGAAGGCCTCAACACACCATCCACGGATCGCAGTAGTATGTCGGCTGACAGCACGCGATGCGTTTGCAACAGCACAGACGAGGGACAAGCCATGGTGCAGTGTGAAGGCTGCGAGAAATGGTTGCATGCGGGTTGCGTTGGGCTGAAGCCAAACACCCTTCCCTCCGTCTATATATGTGCTTTTTGCACTGGCCAAGCGCCACTCGCACGAGGTGGACGTCTCAGAGGCTCTGTTCCCTTCGACTCACCACTTACCCACAAGTCGCTCTTCCGCCGATAAGCCATGTACGAAGACGACAACACAACAAAACGCTCTGTGTTCGAACAGCTGCACTTGACTTGCCACGACTGATATTGGTACCTCATCTTACTTTACAATCAGTCTCATCGCATCTCTGAATCTGCATATCTGGCGTTAACGGCATCTCCTTGTTATTCGCGCTTTCGCATACCCCAATAATATTCCGTCGGTTCCGAGGAGGAAAGCATCAGCAAGATGCTGCCAGCATGTTACATCTTCACCGCGCATCTCAACTTTCCAGCATCGCCATCGCAGCACCTCATCACACAAAACAAAGCAGTCTTGCTCTGCCCATTCCGCTGGCCGGATTCCTATTCGATCTACTTCGGTAATCTCTTCGTTTCTCCTGCGGCCTTTGCGGCATTGATACCAGAATAATGATCTCACGCCCGAACTGAGACTGAAGAGGGACGAAGTTCATGGCTTGATGAAGCTTTTGCACGTTTTTTTACTCATGCCCAAAGAGAAGAGTCAACTGACGCTTGTATATGAAGAAAACAAAAACAAAGACAAATTCGTAGGCTGAATAATTTCTGTACATACACGTCTCATGGCCAAAATTGAAGAATCGCATAGTTCGCTGGCGCACTGCCTTAAAGCCTTGAAATCCGCATGCATTTTTGAACACTTATCTGCCTTCGAAAGCACAGTAGTGGTTGTCGTCAATCTAACTGCGCTTATTGCTGACACGCATTGGTCGTGTTGTCGAGGCAGCACCGTAGACTATCACCCTCCATGCCACAATTCAGCCGGTCCCTGCAGGACATGGCCGTGGAGTTGATAATACTCCGGTCTCAGCTCTTTCTTCATTCTCCGGAAACGGTACGATTCGCTTATTAGGTTTCAAGGTTGCTCCCAGCATTCATGAAGCTTTATAGGAAGGAGGTGTAGACGCATCAAAACACGCCACTTATGGCCTTTTGAGTGACGATCTACAAAGTATGCACCGAAGCTTTATCTTAAAAAGATGCAGTACTATGGCAACGAAATTATGCTCAATGCTAAATTCTCGGCAGTTGGTTTGCTGGCGATGCAGCTATTCGCCCTCGGTCTCCACTGCTCGCATTAGCGCCGTTGCCCCTCGTCCTCGTCCATTTTCAAACCCCACGCCAAACACCTCACACTTCATCAACGTCACCACAAATCATACACAATGGCCGCCAAGGGAAACTACGAATTGCTCTGCCTCGAGAACCCTCTCCTGGACATCCAGGGTGTTGGGTAAGTCGATTGACTTGGGCTATAAAGCACCGCGCGCAATATGTGGGGCTGAGTACCCTTATGGAACTTTTCTGACCTTGGTGTAGTGATGAGAAGCTCCTCGAGAAGTACGGCCTGAAGGCCAACGATGCCATTCTCGCCGATCCCGAGAAGCACATGGGCCTTTACGAGGATCTGATGCAGAACTACAAGGCTGTCCTCATCGCCGGCGGTGCTGCGCAGAACACCGCTCGTGGTGCCTCGTACATCCTGCCCTCCGAGTCGGTCCTTTACATTGGCTGCGTCGGCAAGGACAAGTACGGCGAGACTCTGGAGAACATCTGCAAGGAGGCTGGTGTCAAGACCGAGTACCTCTACGACGAGAAGACGCCCACAGGCCGCTGCGGTGTCGTCATCACTGGCCACAACCGCTCGCTCTGCACAGATCTTGCTGCTGCCAACAACTACAAGCTTGAGCACCTGAAGCAGGACCGCATCTGGAAGCAGGTTGAGAACGCCAAGGTCTACTACGTTGGAGGTTTCCACTTGACTGTTTGCGTGCCTGCCATCAAGGCCCTGGCTGAGGAGGCCGCCGCGAAGAACAAGGTCAGTCAGGACTAGTTTCCGAGAGCAGCGACTGCTAGCTAACAAGGATCAGCCTTTCATCCTCAACCTCTCCGCTCCTTTCATCGCACAGTTCTTCAAGGACCCTCTTGACGAGGTCCTCCCCTATGTCGACATCCTCATTGGCAACGAGACCGAGGCCGCCGCCTTCGCCGAGTCGCACAACATTGACACTAAGGATGTCAAGAAGATCGCCGAGGCCATTGCCAACGGCCCGAAGAAGAACACACAGAGGCCCAGGACCGTCGTCTTCACACAGGGCACCGACCCCACCATCGCTGTCACCGCACAGGAGGGCGGCAAGGTCGACGTCAAGGAGGTCCCTGTTCACGCCATCGGCGAGGACAAGATCTATGACACGAACGGTGCCGGGTGAGTCTCACTTTCACACTTACCGAGACGCCGTCAAGCTAACAACATAACAGAGACGCATTCGCTGGTGGCTTCGTTGCCGGTGTCGTCAAGGGCGAGTCGCTCGAGAAGTCCATCGACATGGGCCAGTGGCTTGCCAAGCTCTCCATCCAGGAGCTCGGCCCTTCGTTCCCCCAGCCCAAGCAAACATACTCCAGCTAAGCGCTGCAATCCCTGAGGATTGATGAGCGTAAATGCTCGTGTATTTCAACAATCTGCGAGAGCATGCACCACTATGATGGGCGTGCGTATCGAGCCCCCGCTCGGCTTCCCGAGCATAGGGTGGAAAAGAATCCAAGCATCGTTTTGGCGTACGTGGTGGATAAAGGGTGAAGGCACTTCAACAGCCGCAAAATAGATACCCAGATTTAGCGTGAATGACAACATGAATGATACACATCAATGACTGTCGATCGTATCAAGTTCCCTGTGTTATGGAACTCGGGTTGGCCCCATCGGGGGAGAGCCAAAAGGAAACGGCGTCATGTTGGAGATGCCAAAGGTCCAGAACAAAACGGAGTGATTACCTATCTAGAGTATGTTTGTCCACTGCATCACGCAGCATCGCTACTCACTGTATGCGGCCAACTGTCAGCCGGACAAAACGAACATCATACATAACATGTGTTTCCAGCATCCTGTCATCGCGCGGCGAAACTCTATGATCCTTCCAAGTCGTTCATGCATGCATCCATCCATCGAAAAAGCAAGAAAAATGGAAATCTTACAATCTCAAACCCGAACAACTGGCACCCGGGGCAAACCTTGTGGTTCCTCCCGCTTCCCCAGAAAACAAAAAAAAATAGGTTGTTGAGTGAGGCCCGACCAAGTGTTTGGAACGGTTGGTACTTCTTGATTAAGGTTACCGGAAGATGGGTTTACCGGGAAAAAAAGAAGGGGATGTGAAAGAAGGGGATGTGAAAGAAAAAAACGATGTCCGCAGGGCTCGAACCTACAACCTTTGGCGAGTTTCAGCTTTGGAAGACCGAAAACCAACGCGCTACCATTGCGCCAGGACACCTTATTGGATGATTGATGGAGTTTCGTGAGTTTAGATCATTAATTATGATAGTTTTGATCTTGAGGGATCTGGAAATTGTGGGACCCTGACCGCGACTAGTCTTGGGGCTGGCCAATCCCTACTAGCCAGACCACTCGACCGATCGAATATCTTCCGAAAGGCAGATCTTGTATTTGGGTTTGCTTTTGGTTGTCAGAGCAGCGTACTGGTTGGCGCGGGTCACTGGTCTCCGTCGAAAGGAATAGGAGAGCTGTTTACTGAACAGGTCATGTTTATATGGGACGATCTTATTGCGCTACAGATATTGTGCAGAAGAGTGTCCACTGCAGCAGTATTGTGAGCGTAAGTTCACGGCAGGGTGAGATGGAACCTAGCTCTTCCGCCACTATAGTTGCGCAATGTGCAAGTGGCCATGCGGTCTTCGGGGAGCTATCTCCTTGCTTTTACCCATGCCTAGGAATGAGGGTTTGGCGGTCAAGAGGCTGACTCATGCCCTGCTGAAATAGAGAAGTTGCATCTTGTGAAAGAGCGGATGTTTGCAACAGATGGAGAGTCGTTGAAATGGGATTGATGATAGTAGGAAGAGAAGGAATTGCTTCAGGGCACGATATTGAAACAGATAGATAGACTTATGCACGATATCTAGCGTTTTTTATCACTAACAGGGTTTCCCGTATTGAGGCGAGGTATAGCGAGCCGCCTTATAGTTCTGGATTGGGAGGTGTTTGTTTTATATATGCCGATCAATGCACAGACATGTGCGGTCAGTGAATCAGGTGATTAGTCCTTCTCGCTATGAAAGGATGAGTTGCTGAGAAATGCTGACAGAACACAACGAAGGACGAGGGATTTTGCACACTCAACTGACCTGGGCGATCTTCACTGAAGTAAGTCCGTACGTGTGACAGCGGACCTGGCTCCGCAAAGATAGATCGCCAGGTGGTCTTCTTCCTGTTACGACATATAACGTTCAGCGGATGCCAACCTCAGCCGAGTTCCGATCGTGAGGCGAGCGGAATCCCCAAAACTCAGGACGACAAGTTACGAGATCTTGACGCCTAACGTTTGTATACAAGTCGATCAGCAGAATGGGGTGGGGTCTTTTTCGCTGGTCACTGTTCAGCATGTGGCCTCAGCCGCATCGTACCTCCACTCAGAGGGCTCTAAGCGTCGACTAAGATGAAGATCTGCTCCTTCTGGTCGACAACACGTGGCAGCCCAGCTCTGTCTGAGTAGGAGTACTTCGTACTTACAGACATAGCAGGTACGATCGATCTAATTGCGATGAGCACTGTATGTCACTGCCTGGTAGTCGGCACTTCGTAACTTTCCGAAAGCTGAGTTTCCACGAGCTGTGCATTGTTGTGTCGCCGACCAAGCCGTATCTGCAAGAGATGTGGATTCTACAAAGGGTCGCGCGCATTGACAACGGAGATTTGGCTGGCATGATGTAGGCCGCAGACGACATTGTCGACGAAGGCGCAATTGATACGAAGAATAACGAGCGGCATGAACGCCTTCAGATAACATACCAGTAGTTCTATTTGAACCCAGCCATTCGGTCAACGCGGAGCCGTGACTATGGCGCAAGCTGTCACTATCTCGGCAGCCGCTCCGCTGGGTGCGAGTGAGAACCTGGTGGTGACATGCTCGGGTCGTCTGCGCATCTGTGGGGTGACATATCACGATGTCTTGTCTCGCTTCTTGTGCATGCGAAAAGGAGGTATGTCCGTTTCGGGCAGTTACTCCTGGATGTCAAATCGGGGCGTTCCTGTCAGCGTTGCCGCAGCTCTCGGCAAGCCTAAGGTCTAGTACAGCTTAAAACAACACCATGCTCTTCTGGATCCCCTCACACAATAAGTCAGTCGCAATTCTATCGCAATTCTATGGAAGGCGCACAAGTCATTGACTTGAATCATGCCATGACTATCTGTAGGACTACCGATCTTTCCGATGGAGGATTCTCCTGCCAAGAACCCGTTATGCGTGTCATGACATTGAGACCACGGCAGGCGAGCATTCGCAATAAACATCCGTAAATGGATGGACCGTGGAGCCGAGTAAGCAAGAGCCAGGAGTTGCATGCACGTGCATGACGAACGTGCTTCCACCAGCGTTATTGCATCGAGCTCCCACCACAGCGTGAACGGTGTTTCGCCTCTGTTAAGACTTACGCCTCTTTTGCTAAGGTACGCTACCCATCGACAGACCCGTGCGATATGCTTTACTACCAACACCTTATTCTATGGCGCCTACAAGCGCTGTCGTCGACCACTGCAGTGACTCTACTCTCCGCGGCGCATTGTATACTCCGCGGGAGTCCTCGTGACGAGGACTGCTCAACGCAAATTCTTTTCTGGAATACCTTTCTGTATTACATAGCTCTGTTTCACTGAACAGAGGTTTGAAGGGTTCGCAATGAAGCTAAACTAGCTCTATGATCTTGGCGTCGCGGTTCCATCAGCCGGTGTGGTCTCCGCGGTCACTGTTGGGGCTGCCGCACCCGTCTACATTACTCGTGCACACCCAACCTTAAGTCTTGGAATCTCCAAAGGCCTATGATCAATCCACCCAAACACGGCAATTGTCTTTGCCCCACGGCTAAGCAGACTGTCAATGACAATGATGCCACTATCCAAGAGCACGAGCTTATGATAAGCGTGCGATCTGCTGGCTTTCTAGAAAACTTTCACTAGAGATAGATGATGGAGATATGCTAGAGGAGCCCCAGGGTCCGTACGTCTAATGGTCGGCGTTCATGCCTGCCGTGCAGATCCCCCATAATCGATCCAAATGTCACAACGAACTCTCAGGTGACGTCTCTTGTCTATATATTCCAACAATGGCAGTCAGGTCATGTAGACTCGAAATCGTTATAATAAAATGCATGTGCGCAAACTCCACTTATCCGAATCGCTGGAAGCGGAGCTCGTGTTCGCTTTGGAGTCTTGGCCGATGCGTTCATTTTCCTTTTTCACAACGCTGCCACGCGGTGGCTGATGTCTTCTGAACTTTAGCCCGCCATCCATTTCCGGCAATCCTGCCTGAAACGCTTCTGACTTGCGCTGCTGCAGATCGCCAGTGAAGAGGGCCGACTACATAGTTTGGCTCGGCAGGACGCTAGTTGCGCATGGATGAACATCTTGTTGCCTTCCAACGATGCTTGTCACGCCATCCTGCAGGGTGCCGGTCAGAGCTCATCGGAATTGTCGCCTCGAAGTCAGCAATTGGTGCATGCAGAATGTCGACTCGTGGAAGCTCCCAAGAACTCGGGGTCAAGCATGCAGAAAGCTGGGCAGTATGCAGCCACCTCAAGGTTCACGCTTGAGGGCGCCGCTGCGTTCGAGCTGGTCGAAGCACGCACAAATGCTGTTCGCCTGTGGTTCACCCACCCTTTCGTTGTTTGTCATATGGATCAAACTTGAGCCGGTGACCGGCGAAAAGGATAGACCCGACCCTCTATAGGACTGGGGCTCCAGCTCTAAGGCGATCAGTACGCTACATTGAAACTAAGTGCTGTCAACGGATAGAGTCGTCCTCTTTTCGTACCAGGGTTGATGGCAACCACGTTTGAGTCTAGGACCCACTTCCCGCTGCATACCAAGGGTCCCCATTAGCCCCAGGAGGACCTTCTCCTCTGCGTTAATATCCCACAAGATATCCGGCCTCCGTTCGTGTTACCTCAAGTTCTTCGTGTCTTGACGACACAGACTAGACGTCAATATGTCACACCTCGAAGCACTGATACCGCATGGCGACCGTCTGTTCACCTCGCCAGATGCCCTATACCGTCGAGGCGGTGGTCTTCACCCCCCAACCGACGTTCTCCTGAGCTGGCCGGCCCCGAATTACATCAATCCGGAAGATCGAGGATGGGATTCGTCGATTGTACTGCTTGTGTTCCTGGCCATCACATTTATAGTGTTCGTTGCACGCATATGGGCTCGGCTCGCGCTGGGCAAGAATGCTGGACTGGATGACACCCTCATGGCCATTGCGATGGTGCCGCTGTTTGGGCTCACCATCTCTGCTATCCTCGGTACGTCTTCTGTCTATGCCTTGATATCATAGCTGACAAGGTCAACAGCGATGAGAGTGTACGGCTTTCAGTGGCACGTATGGGACCAGACGAGAGAGACTCTGGTCACTGCTAGAGAGGTGAGCATTGTTGTGTTCTGTCTCGTAGCCGATGCTGACGAATCAGATTACGATGGCAATAGAGATCAACTACATGCTTTGTACGACTCTGATCAAGATTTCGATCCTGTTCTTTTACCGACGCATCACTGCCTCTCTTACGATTCAGTTTGTATACTGGGTTTGGGCATCTATCGCATTCTGCGCTGCCTACGGCGTCGTTTTCATCTGCCTCATTGCCTTTACTTGCCACCCGGCGAACGGTTTCTTCCATGTCTTCGATATCCAGTGGCGATTCGAAAACGAATTGACCTGTCGCGACGAAGGAGCGATCATTGTTGCCGTTGCAGCTATCAGCACAGTCCAGGACTTCATCATTGCTCTGCTCCCTGTTTTCCTCATTGTCAAGCTGCAGATCCCTAGAACCCAAAAGCTCGCGCTTTGCGGCGTTTTCGGCTTGAGTCTCATGTATGCATTATACGACGCTTCCCTCGAGCCACAGCTAATATCTACAGCACCTGTATATGTGGCGTCATGCGCACATACTATGCAACGAAGGTTTACTACTTCAGTATGTGCACCTCTCAGTCTCCTTCGCAATCGCTGACCTGAACAGCCTACGACATCACTTGGGTTGCTTACTATGGCTGGATATGGACAGCTCTTGAGGCAGACCTAGCTGTTATCTGTGCCTCTGCACCAGCTCTCAAGATGTTCTTCCGCAAGTACTTCAGCATCACCAATTCGCGCTACGGCTACGGAAGGTCCGGAATGAACAGCGGCCAGATGCCTGGAGGACCTTCATCGACATCCAAATCAGCCAAGGACTACATCTCCTCAGCATCACACATTACGGCTGGTGG